TTGCCTCCCATCAAGCGCTTTGGTTTATAGTCCTTAGCTAGACTTTGCAAAGAAAAAGACTTAGTTTAAATAGGATCTGGTCCTAAGACAAGTCCTCTTCGAAATCCTCCTATTCTGTCTTGCAGGTTCTTCATCACTCCAGAGTTCTTCTGGTTCAAATGCCTACGCTTTATGTTCTCCTCTTTTGCTCTTAAGTGGTGTAACTTCATAGAAGATGTCCTTGTCAATATTGGCAAAAGAAACTCTCTTGTTGGGCCAATCCATGATGGCTCTAACAGTTGCCAAGAAAGGCCATCCAAGAATAACTGGATAAGAGTCATCTTTGGTCTTCACTATGTATAGATCGACAGGTGCAATGCAATCTCCAATCCTTAGAGGAATGTCTCGGGCTATCCCTCTTGGTGTTGCACTTGAATCATCTGCTAAGCTAATCTTTGTCCTGGTACTTGAGATGTGCTTAATGCCAAGTCTCAAAGCAGTTGCTTTGAACATCATGTTAATGCAAGCTCCAGAATCACAAAGAATATTGAGGAATCTTTCACCTCTAATGTCACAAGAGATAAGAAATTGATCTTTGACTTGAACTTTGTGCAGAGTTCGAACTGGTCTAACTTCTTGGGCGTGTGTGAACAAGTCTTTCATCTCTTGGATTGACTCTTTGCTGTCACAAAAGAAGTGGCCTATCATGTAGTCTCTACATGCTTTGGCAAACGAAATTCCTTCTGGTAGGCTCTGAACTACTTGGTTGAACTCTTCAAGTGCTTCTTTGCTGATCTTGTTTGTGTAGTCACTGGCTTCTTGGGGATATTTGAGGTGGATCCTGTAAACAGCTGCATCAGGTGATGATCTAGGAAAAGATAGATGACTGGCTCTTCTGAAATATGTAGAGATGTTCTCCTTAGATTCCTTGTTGTATCTGAAGTAGACTTGAAGGCAGCCTTGCTTCCAGACGTCGTCGAATCCGAGATAGGGAGGAATGGATTTCACAAACTTGTTGAATTCGATCAGTCTCTCCCTAGATATGCTCTTGGTTATTGGTTCTGTGTTGTCATCAGATGAATCGTCCCCAGAGTTTGGATCTTTTACAAACAAACCATACTCTTCATCTTCTGAGAATTGCTCTTGAAGCTCATTGTCACAAGTATAAACCATGTTGCAAGATGCATAAGTATTGGATTCTTCCTTTTCCTTTGATACTTGTGCAGTGATTGAGAAGACAGTTTGGTCAAACAAACTAGGTCTGGTCACATGAGGTCGGTTTTCTGATGAACAGGCTTTAGAAAGAGGTTGAAAGCTCTTCCAGTCTGAGAAGTCGTGCTCCACCGCGGGTGAGGAGCTCGCAGCCGCGGTCAGCTTCCTCCGGCTCTCCATGCTTGCTTCTTCAATCTCTTCTTCTCCATTGTTGTTCTCTTGCTTCCAGTGGTAGTCAGGCATGTCTTGGGTATCCAAATCATTGATTCCAGAGCTCAGATCATACTCCTTATGATCTTTAGAAAGTTTTTCAACCTTCTCTTCTACTTCATCTAAAGCATAAAAAACTTTGTCTACAGTAGCATCAAGCTCTTCTGTCTTGTTTGTGATCTTTTCCATCTCTTCACTCATATCTATCTTGTCTCCATCAGAGTACCACTTGCTATCTGTGAAATCTCTCTCCAAATCTTCAATTAGGACATTACAGCCTCTCTGTTCCTTCAGTGCTTGACGAAGGGCGATGGTGTTCTTAGCCTTGCCTTCTTCGATGTCTTTAAGTCTCTTCTCTAGAACTACATCATCTTTGAGCTTTTGTGTTTCTAGAGTCTTCATTCGGTCAGAGAGACATTCGAACTTCCTGCTAAAATCAGAGGACATTGATTCCAATTTCACACAAAGGTTAGATTCAGCAATGGCTTGTAGATCAAGAAACTCATTCAGTGCAGTGTCTAATCAATCTAGTTGGAGCCTAAATCGATCAGCCTCGGTGTTTCGGTGCAGAATCTGATGAGGAAGAGGATGAGATGGTCGACGGTTCACCAGGTGTGGCAAATAGGGCTCATCTCGATGGTGTGGAGGTCGCGAGTCTCCATGGTGGTGGTTCGGATTAGGGTTCCAAAGATGAGGATCAAAATCATGACTGGAGAGTGATTCACATGCGCAGGGAGCTTCACACAGGTCGCAGGACCTTCGCTCGGGGTTAGGGTTTCTTCTTGAATGATCCATGCTTCAAAGTTTTCTGAAACTAGGGCAAACAGAAGAAAGAATAAACAGAAAAAGAAAAAGTTAGGGTGTTTATGAATTTGGTTTACTTTGGCAGAAACTTGACATATATATAGTCTTCTGCGGCTTCAACCTCCCAGATTTAGACCTTCAGAGACTAAAATCCTCCCCGGCAACGGCACCAAAAACTTGATGGGCTTGCGGGCCTAGGGTTATTTTTTAATAAGCCCATTGGTCCTCCAAAAGTTTTAAATTTATAAAACCCTAGTGTCTGCAAGTGCACAGATGTAGGTTGTAGGACTTAGGGTGTCGATCCACAGGGAGGATGTCCAATCTGCAAATCTGCAAGAAACAACAAACTGGGAAGTAAGCAAACTCATAAACCAATAAAATATTTTGGGGTTTTTGGTTAAGATCCTAAACTAAACATAATCTAGTATTCACAAGAAATGCAATGCAGGTGATATGTCTATATTTTACATCATTTAGATTGCATTATAGAGTCCTCATCATGTGTTTTCTCATGTAAATTGAGTCTTTAGGCGTTAAAATAGGACTTAGGGCTTGCATTAGGTCCCAAAGAGTTTTGCATGTTTTGAAGTCTTTATCAGGAGCTTTGGAGACCAATTGGAGCCTAAGAAGAGGAACAGAAAAGAAAACGGTGAAGAAAAGGGTCAAAAATGGTGAAAACCGCTTGGAGGAATTTCTCGGCCAAATCTCGTACCGGCTGGTCGGAAACCTCGGCCAAAATTTTTACCGGATGCTCATTACTGGCCAAAAACCTTACCGATCGGCCAGAATCGAGTATCGAGTGCAAAAATACCACGGGACAAGTTTTTGACCGAGGCAAGAATTTTTACAACCAAAAAGCTTACCGCGGTACACAGCCCTTGGCCATTTTTCTTACCGCGGGAAGGTTTTTACGACCAAAAGTTGTCCTTGCCCGCGCAATTCAGAGATCAGCAATCCGGGGAACCTTCCGGTCCGAATCAGTTGGCGGGGTCTTCACCAAAGTTGGAGATAATGAAGCAAAGATTCCAGAACAGTTGGAATCATCCAATTCGGACAAGTGGAGAGAAAGATATGGCTTCCGGAGCATTCACCAGTATTGCGCGTACCCGAGAACTGAACGGCGAACTTCAAAGATCATGGCGGACGGAGCCCCTCCAGACCGAACCAGCTTACCCGGTCTTCACCAAACTCCGAGATCCATGGAAGATCTTCTCAGAGCATTTTTGAATCGCTCAATTCGGAGCAAAGGTTTGGAAGATAGGGTCTCCGGAGTTCACATCGGTCTATAAGTCTATTTTCCGGTGATTTCAATGCGGCGCAAAGATGTTAAATCCAGGAAGCCTTCCACTCCCCAAGCTCCGATGGTTTCTTCACCAAAGTTCGAGCTTATTGAGTCATCTTGACTGTGGAACTGGTCCCAGAGCAATTGGAGTCGTGTGCTGAAAGTTACTGCTTCCGGAAGGTGACATGGTCGATACAAGCCTAAAAAAGTTGCGATACGCGCTAAGTATTCTCACAAGCCTCGGTATCTTTACCTTGGCGTCACTCAAGTCGAGGCTCATATCTTGGAAGTATTCTGGACTAGACCTCCTGCCAAAGCCTTGGCATGGTTAGATCGAGGCATGCATACGTAAGAACTGAAGCTGGAAACGACTAAGTGTTGAAAGTACACCTCGGTGTAATGACCTCGGCGTGCATGCCGGACTGTGTTCTCCCAAGCACCTCGACATCATGACCCCTCGACATTTTATCCCGAGGTCCCTTGTCACGAACCCAGAATCAAGAACAGAATGGCTCAAGAACATACACGTGAGGATAGATCAAAGACTAGGGTTCATGCATGTTCTTGACGTGTTCTTCACGAGATCTTCATCTGGATCCTGACTCACGTGCACGCCTCGGCATGAAGACCTCGGCTTCACTTTCCGACACACCGTGGCACTCACCCATCAACCCAAGAAGGCGGTTCAGTACCCGGTTTGTTCCGGGCTGACCCGCGACACTTTCCCTTTGCTATAAATACATTTTGAGACTAAAAACCTAGTTATCTTATCTCTTATCTGTTTTTAGCTCTAAGAACTTGCCTCTTTTGTGAAACTTGATTAATCTAATCCGATATCTCGTTTTTGCATCAGAATCTTGTTCTTTCTTTATTTCTTTTATCATCCAACATCAAACTCCTTATCATGACTAGCTACACGTCTTGCAAACGACTTAGTGAGCTCGTTATGATCAGTGAGTAGTCGTTTAAGCGGCTTTAGATAGGTAGATTAGGGTGCTTTCAAGGTGGATTAATGGGTTTAGGTGTCTAGTCTTGCATGTTTCATTCCTTAACCGACGAGATCTCTAAGCTGGATCCAAGCACATCACTTGAGGTTCAGATCTGAGACATATCTCACATCAGAAGTGTTTGTAGAAATGTCTGAACCACTCGGTTAAGGGTTTAAGAGTCTTTCATCGCGAGAGTGATAGTTTGTTCTCTTAAATGACATTTTTGAACCGATTCTTATTGCTGACTGATTCGTGCTTCTCAAAAGGGATTTTGGTATGAAAGAGGATCAGTTTAGACGTTTAATACTTTCATGAGAAGATTAACGTGCCTTGAGTTCAAAGTCAAATGAAATCGCTTGATAAAATGATTCATTAGCCCCTTAGTCTAACTTGGAAGCACCCGAGTCAAATATCCTGTCTAAAGCTTCTGCCTTTATCATTCATTACCATCATCTGAATCACCTGTTTGGGAGCAGTGTAAACTGGCGTTCTTATCCAAGTTCTTTTCCACATCACGCACGGCTAAGCTCAGGAATCAGATCTCAAGTTTCACGCAGCACAATAACGAGAGCTTTAGTGAAGCTTGGGAACGGTTTAGAAGCTACACTAATCAATGCCCACACCACGGCTTCTCAGAGGCATCCCTCTTGAGTACTTTATACCGAGGTGCACTCCCCAAGATCAGAAACCAACTCGATACAGCTTCAAATGAAAATTTTCTTGGAAAAGAGATCACTGCGGCAATGGAACTAGTTGAGAACCTAGCCATGTCCAATGACACGTATGGAGAGGACTTTGATAAAGCAAACCGTACAGAGGGATCTAGTGATGAACAGCGCATGAAAAAGGATATAAGAGAGCTTCAGAGTAAGCTTGAGAAGGTTTTGATGGCGACTCAAAAGCCAATACACTTTGTAGGCGAGTTTGATGAGCAAGGGCCAAGTTTTGACAATGTTAATGAAGATGGTCTAACACAAGAGGAGCTGAATTACATAGGGAATCAGCAGAGGTATCAGCGGTTTAACAACTACAACAGTAACCCAAACCTCTCATACAGAAACCCGAATGTAGCTAACCCTCAAGACCAAGTGTACCCTGCTCAACAACAACAACAAAGCTATGCTCAAAAGGCTCCTTTTCAGAATACCTTCCAGCCCAAGCAACAGTTCAGTGGGCAACAGCACGGCTACACTCAGCAGAATCAAGCGGCTCAGAGTAACAACTTCAACAACCAACCGCAGCAACACAAGTTTCCACCAGGGTTCCATCCGCAGCCGATGGGTAATCAACAACAGATTCAGGGAACGAGTCAGAATCAAATGGGGAACGACGTCTGTGGGATACTACAGCAACTGTTACAGGGCCAGCAAAGGGTTGAGAGCCAGCACGCGACAATGCAGCAAGATATCAGAGAGCTTAAGCAGAATCAAGCTTCTACATCATCAAGAGGCCCGGCTTTACCAGGTAAACCGGAGCCGAACCCTAAAGAGTATGTGAGCGCCATCACATTGAGGAGTGGTAAGGAATTACAAACTCCAACGCCTAAGACAAAGCTCATTGAGGCCAATGAGCAATTAGAGGGGGAGGCAGCCTCAGACGATGCGTGTAAAGAAGCGGTCTTAGAGAAGGAACCGATCAAGGACAAAGGAAAAGAGGTGGAAAAGACAACCGAGCTTGAAAAACCCTATGTTCCACCACCACCTTATCAACCCAAGATACCGTTCCCAGGGCGTTTCAAAAAGAAAATCCTAGACAAGGCCAAGGCGGTCTTTGAGAAACACTTGGAGAACACGCAACTCACCTTACCCATTATAGATGCTTTCTTAGCTATACCCCAACTTGGGAAGTTTCTAAAGGACGCGATCCTCAACAAGACAAAGGAGCTCCAGGGTATGGTGATACTGAGCCATGAGTGCAGTGCCATAATACAAAGAAGATCTATACCAAGGAAGCTATCCGATCCGGGCAGCTTCACTTTGCCGTGTGCTTTAGGTCACCTGAAGTTCTCAAACTGTTTATGTGACCTTGGAGCTTCTGTGAGCTTAATGCCTTACACGGTGGCCAAGAGATTGAGATACAAAAGCTACAAGCCAGCCAAGATCTCTCTTGTATTAGCTGATAGATCGGTTAGATTACCGGTGGGGTTGCTTGAGGATCTACCTTTGAGGATCAATGAGATAGAAATCCCCACGGACTTCATAGTTCTTGAGATGGACGAGGAACCATTAGACCCTATCATCTTGGGCCGACCGTTCTTAGCAACCGCAGGAGCCATAATAGATGTAAGAGGAGGAATGATTGAACTACACATCGGTTCCGAGACTATGAAGTTCAACGTGAAGGAAATGATGAAGAAACCGACCATTGGAGGTCAGGTTTTCTATGTGGAGGTAATGGAGGAGCTGGCTGATGAGCTCCTTGAAGAGTTGAACGCAGAGGATCCGTTACAAGTGGTTTTAACGCGGGAACAAAGCGAGCACGGGTACTTGAACGAGGAAAGCGAGGTGTACAAGCGTCTTTTGGACCAACCGAGGGAACTTGGAGCTGAGGCGAGGTTTTTGGAGCTCCACACGAGCAGCCTCGACATTCTAGAAAGCGAGGAGTCAAAGGGAAAAGAAGAGACACCTCGGGATATCATGGCCGTGACAACTCATACCGAGGCCGATGGTAAACCGCGCGAGAATGAAGCAAAGGCCGAGGAAGCTGTTCCGGGCCAATGCAGCTTTGATGCCGATTGGAATGAGGCAGACGCACCCCCTGTTGAGCTCAAGCCTCTACCAACAGGGCTCAGGTATGCATTCTTAGGTCTAAACACTACTTTTCCTGTGATCATAAACGATAACTTGCTTGAGCATGAGGAACGTGCATTACTTAGTGAAATAAGGAAATTCAGGAGAGCCATAGGGTATTCCTTGGCTGACATTAGAGGAATCTCTCCTGATATATGTACCCACAGGATCCACCTAGAGGACCAAGCCATGTCCTCTATTGAGCACCAACGTCGACTTAACCCGAACCTCAAAGAGGTGGTTAAGAAGGAGATACTAAAGCTCCTTAAGGCAGGGATAATATATCCAATCTCTGACTCTCGGTGGGTATCTCCTGTACACGTTGTGCCCAAGAAAGGTGGGATCACGGTGGTGAAAAACGATAAGGATGAACTCATAGCCCAAAGAACTATAACCGGCCATCGCATGTGCATTGACTATAGGAAATTGAATTCTGCATCAAGAAAAGATCATTTTCCTTTACCATTCATTGATCAAATGCTTGAACGGTTAGCTAATCATCCTTATTTTTGTTTTCTCGATGGATACTCAGGGTTCTTTCAAATACCTATAGACCCCCGAGATCAAGAGAAAACGACATTCACCTGCCCTTATGGCACTTATGCTTATAGAAGAATGCCATTCGGTTTGTGTAATGCACCGGCCACTTTTCAAAGATGTATGATGCACATTTTCTCTGATCTAATTGAAGAGAAAGTTGAGGTGTTTATGGATGACTTCTCCGTATACGGCTCCTCTTTCTCTGAATGTCTTGCTAATCTTTCTCAGGTTCTCAAGCGGTGTGAGGAGCATAGGCTTGTCTTAAACTGGGAAAAGTGTCATTTCATGGTCCAAGAAGGCATTGTCTTGGGACACAAGGTATCAGAGAAAGGCATCGAGGTGAATAAGGCCAAGATCGAGGTGATGGTGAACTTACAAGCCCCGAATTCTGTGAAAGGAATAAGAAGCTTCCTTGGCCCGCTGGGTTCTATAGACGGTTCATCAAGGATTTCTCCAAGATAGCCAGGCCTTTGACCAGGTTATTGTGCAAAGAAGTGGATTTCAACTTTGATGAAGAATGCGAGGAAGCGTTCAAGAGAATCAAGGAGGCTTTGATCAGTGCACCGATTGTACAAGCCCTTGATTGGTTTTTACCATTAGAAGTGATGACCGTTGCATCTGATTATGCTGTAGGAGTTGTCTTGGGACAGAAAAAAGATAAGAGGCTCCATGTGATCTACTATGCCAGCCGCACTTTGGACTCGGCTCAAGAAAAGTATGCCACCACCGAGAAGGAAATGCTTGCCATTGTGTTTGCATTTGACAAATTCAGAAGTTATCTAGTGGGATCAAAGGTCACGGTTTACACAGATCACGCGGCCTTGAGGTACCTGATGTCTAAGAAGGACGCTAAGCCGAGGCTTTTGAGATGGGTCTTATTGCTCCAAGAATTTGACATGGAGATACTTGATAAGAAGGGCATTGAAAACGGAGCCGCAGATCACCTCTCAAGGCTGAGGATTGAAGAACAGGTCCCTATAGATGATGCTTTACCCGAGGAACATCTCAAGTTAGTCCGGTCTTACTTAGAGGTGGAGGAAGCCAATACGATCAAGGAAAGAAGCCTTCCATGGTTCGCGGATCTTGTGAACTACTTGTCTTGCAGATTAGAGCCACCAGATCTTGATACTTATCAGAGGAAGAATTTCTTTAGAGATGTGATGAGGTATCATTGGGATGAGCCGTATCTTTACGTGCTTAACAAGGACCATCTCTATAGGCGATGCTTGGCCGAAGAAGAGATCCATCCAGTGCTACAAGAATGCCACGGCTCATCGTATGGTGGTCATTTAGGTGCATTCAAGACAGTTGCCAAGGTTCTACAGAGCGGTTTCTGGTGGCCGACCATGTTCAAAGACGCCCAGGAAGTGGTCTCGAGGTGTGAAGCTTGTCAAAGGCACGGAAACATATCCAAAAGGAATGAAATGCCCCAAAACCCAATCTTTGAAGTAGAAGTCTTCGACTGTTGGGGCATTGACTTCATGGGTCCCTTTGTAAGCTCATATGGGAATCAATATATCCTTGTAGCAATGGATTATGTGAGTAAATGGGTTGAAGCGGTTGCATCTCCGACCAACGATTCAAAAGTGGTGGTAAAACTCTTCAAGAGTATCATCTTCCCACAGTTTGGAGTACCAAGAGTAGTCATTAGTGATGGGGGAAGCCATTTCATCAACAAGACTCTTGAGAGTCTTTTGAAGAAGCACGGAGTAAAGCACAAGGTGGCCACCCCTTATCATCCGCAAACCAGCGGCCAAGTGGAGGTTTCCAACCGTCAGATAAAGGCCATTTTGGAAAGGACCGTGAACTCATCCAGGAAGGATTGGAGCAAGAAACTTGACGATGCTCTGTGGGCTTACAGAACCGCCTACAAAACCCCCATTGGAACCTCACCGTTTAACTTGCTCTATGGGAAGAGCTGTCATCTACCGGTTGAGTTGGAATACAAAGCCTTGTGGGCAGTGAAACTTCTGAACTTTGACATCAAGACCGCACAAGAGAAGAGGGTTTTACAGCTTCATGAGCTTGAGGAGATCCGGTTAGATGCTTTCGAGAGCTCTAAGATCTACAAAGAAAGAACCAAGGCGCTCCATGACAAGAAGATACACAAGAGAGAGTTCAAAGAAGGGGACCAAGTTCTGTTGTTTAACTCAAGACTCAAGCTGTTCCCTGGGAAGCTGAGGTCTAGGTGGTCCGGTCCGTTCACGATTCTTGAAGTAAGACCCTATGGAGCCGTGGTTTTGAAAGGAAAAGATGGACAAGGCTTTGTGGTAAACGACCAGAGGGTAAAGCATTACTTGGC